TCCAGATAACTAAGAGAATTACAGGACTTCCATGAGATGTCATGAACATCAAGTCATATTACAGTTTACTACAAAACCGTTCGGTGTAACCAAATAGATAAATTCCCAACTGGCGCAGTCAGTTATACAAATTAAGAGTGGAACAAGATGAACATTATTTTTTCAATATTTTTACTTTTTTGTTTGTGTTATACCATCATAAGTGATTAAGTGTTGCATTATGCTCAGAAACGTATTTTTGAAATTTATGTTATTTGAACTCTTTTGGTGGTTACCACTTGAAATCACTTGTAGAATACTAATGTATTGGAAAGTTGAATCATTTAGATGCTTTTGATTTCGAAGATATTAATTTCAAAAGAGGTTTACAATGAGGTATTATTCAGTGGCAGATCGAGCCTAACTCGGCGAGTCTCAACGAGTCTAGTTGTAATTATCTCTCTTGCAAAGCATCGGGTTATGGTTATTGATGTCATCGTGGATTCCTAGGACAGAGACTAAGAATTACGCTTCAAAATTGACGGCCGTGATCATTTGCCAGAATAATGGACAGATGTTACACGCACCGAAGGTCGGAGGAGCACGTTATTTCGGCGAATAACTCATCAGTACCGAAAACAAAACACGACGGACATTTTGCATCCCGACCCGATGCAAGGGTGGTGTAGCCTGTGGGTCATCCGCCCCCCTGTGCGTACAAATTTACCCCCGAGCAAGTACAACAAACGACCGAGACGATAAAAATCAACGGAAATATCACGCGATAAATCACCCGACCACCACCCAAGTAAGTTCTGTGTTACTTGTGTGTGAAGTTTGCTTGCTGCACATGTAACGCGTATGTAATATAGTGTACGATTGTCGAGTGCTCAATTATTTACTCGGTGTACATTTTTTTTTTTGAGGTTTATGGCATTCGATTAATCGTCTGGCGTTCGTCAGTCGCCCGTGGACTTCAGCCGGCGCCGTTAAAACACCATAACGCTGTTGAGTGTTTCCACAGAAAAGCGGTTTTTATAAATTGGTAGCCACTTCCGAACGCGACCAAAATAAGAACGGTAGTCAGACGCGCTTATATCGTTTAAACTCCTGCCGCGGAACATAAATAAATCAGGGGAAAAAAACGAGTGTCTTCATTATTCCTGGTTCATTTTAGACATTTCTCTCTTGCTTGCTTTTAATATTTTTTTTTCACAGACGATACAAATTAGAGTGACAGACGACTGCAACGTTCAATTTCTATATCCTAACATATATCGGGTGATTATTTTAACGCCCTACACTAGTTTACTTTTAAAATAACTACAAATTCGTAGTGTTTCTTTATGGAAACATTTTTATTTATTCTTTGGTACAGTATTAGAAAATATTCAAATTTGTATCTTTTTTGGTATTTACTAGAGCTCTAATCCCTTATAAAACTTAAATAGAACGTTCATATTTAATTAGCTTTTTAAATTAAGAAGAACTTACGGAAAAATTTGACTGGCCGATAACCAGTATTGAATAATTATTTTTAAAGTTATTTAAGTTTAAATTTTAGGACGAAAATGGAATGCGGTTGAGTAATGTGCACAGATAAAAATAACTCTACTCTATACCCTTCCTACCGTCCTAAATGTTAAACTTTAATAACTTTAAAACTATTTATTCAAAACTGGGTATCGACCAGTCAAAATTTTCAGCAAATTATTATTAACTTAAAAATATTTATACGTCAGCGTTAAAGTTTCAAAAGTTGATAAAGCTCTAGATAATATTAAAAATGATAAAAATTTGAATATTGTGTCATACAGTAATATAGTATAAACAAAAATGTTTTCAAAAAGAAACACTACAAAATTGCAATTATTTTAAAAGTAAACTAGTGTAGGGCGTTAAAATAATAACTTTTAGTCTGTTGGCCAGAAAAAATAAGAAAATTTGATGACACAATATATACACACCTCAGTACTTAACTTTTATTAATTTAGTGTAACATATTTTAAAGAAATTTAAGTTTTTTTTGCAGTCAGGGTTTGTTTTTTTAGTAAATATTAAATTTTTTCTAACATTTTTTTTTGTAAACTATGTAAAAATACAACCTCATGTAGTAGAGGGCTCAACTCGAGTTTAATTATGTTCGATTCCGACAGTCCTGTACTCTTAAAACAAATAAACTTAGTCAAAAAAATACTATATATATTTTGATTCAAAAAATGCCGGTTAATCTATCCAAAAAAAAGATTATTATGCTGTGTCTTTTGAGAATATTAGTCGGTCTAAACATTTATTATGCAAGATTTTTTTTTTTTAATTTTGTTGATTTTATGTTTTTGAAGTATAATTTACATTAATGAAATATGATTTCTAAATATTAACGTTTTTCGTGGGTTTTTTTTTAACCAAAACTTTATAAACTTTTCAAATTAAAACCCTAATCTAAAAGCTATATTGACTTTATAAAATCAATAATATTTTACAGAAAGTTTGGACAAGCCGACAACCAGTTTTGAATAATGATTATTATTTTTGTGGTTATTAACGTTAAAAAGTAATAATAATATTAATTTATTAACGCGCATTATTCAATTACACTTCTCCTCCGGGCCAAACCCTTGCAGTGCTAATGAACCCAAACATAAATTATTTAAAACTGGATATCCACAGGTCGTAATAATTAAATAAGCATTTAATATTACAATGCGTATCGTTTAAAACTCAATAATGGTATCAAGTTTAGAAGTATACAAATTGCCAAGAACGTGTATAGAAAAAACACAAAATTAAAATTGTTATTGTAGAAAATCAGTCAGTTCTATAATTGCGTTGGACTCATCACCCTGCACATTGTGTCGGAACCGCGTGTACTAGCCGTGATCTTGAGCAAAATATCCTTCTAAACATTGAAATGTTTGAAAAAATTTGATATATTACCTTATATTGGGTTGGTGATTTTTGTCAATAATATATTATTGGAACACACCACAGACCAAATTTGTTAAACGTGTATATAATGTACAGTTAACGAAATAGGTAGGTACTTTTGTGCTTAAATACAAAGCACATACTTTAGTGACAGTTGTACTCTTCAGTTTTGACATGTCCCAGTAATCGGTGCAAATGAAAAGCATGATAATATACCTATATTAGATACAGTCGAACGAATTTCCTACCAAAACGTGATCGCACCGATTGCTGCCAAATCGTTATCTGTGTACAGTACAATACAATTTACAATGCAAATGTTAAGATTTTCTTACAAACACATGAACGGCTTGAAAACAAATTCCACGATTCTTAAATATGTAGATTTTTATACTTGAAAAAAAATGCGCGTTTTCCATTTCCACCAAGTACAATTCAACAGAGATTGTTCATTTTTATCTGTTGTGCGTCCCAACCGTGCGAGTGCGGAGACACTTCAACGAAAACCGTTTCGACGCGACACGATAAGAAACACTTTCCGGAAAATTGCTCAAAGTAACAGACAATGTTTAGCTACAATACAAGAGATACAACATCAATACTATATTATAATCATACACAAGTGTGTGTTTGAATTATTTTTGAAATGGTACCGCGGTTTTGTGTGTGATTATAATTTTTCTAGGGGGGGGGGATGTACTTTGACACGACAACACGTCTTGAAAGTAGCCGTAAATTAAAATTTTTTTTTTTATGAGTGTTACTCTTTGTCAAATGACCGTCAAAACATAATAAATATATTAAAACTATTTTTTTTTTGTTATTTCATTTAACTGAATGCGGTTTTAGACGAACAGTTTAATAATTAAACTCAAATTTGACTTTATGTGTACTTACTACTTAGAATATATAAAACAAACTATGTATATTTTTTATGATTTTCTGAGAAAACCCACTTCTATGAAATACCGTCTTAAATGAACATTATTTTCAAATTGATATTTTTTAACGTAATTTTTGCATTTTCCAGTTTCAAGTCAAAGAGTTTCTAGAGCTATATATATATGTATTTATATTTGATACCATAAACTAATAAGGTACTTATTGGCTCAACGATAATAAACGTTGATATATGTAATAATAACAATTTAATTAATTTCACCAGTATTGGATCCAAATACACAATTAACCAGTCTAAGACCTATTGGTTTTTTTATATTATCTCGGCCAAATGTGACCTATACATTTTGTCAGTCCGGCTCTATTTCAAATTCTATTATACTTCACACAAGCCAACGATTTCTCCCAGTATATTACTTGCCACAATACCTATCTTTGACGTCTGTCCGGCTAAAAGTACTTTCACACTATAGCACTGTTGACCCTATTTATACACCGTTTATATTGTTTTATGTATTTTTATTATTCCGGTAGACTGTGATCGTTTGTTTGTACTTTAATAATTAAACCATCAAAAGCTCTAACGTGTCAGAAGTTCGTGGCGGGCTTTGAGTTTATTGTTCGCGGGGCAAAGAAACTATTATTCAACTACAAAGTAGCTAGTTGATACCTTCGAAACTTTGCTCCATGCGAATTGTTTTCGGATCCGAATTAATAGCTTTTGTACGAAGCCACATAGTAGGCATCGCTAAACACCCGAGGCTTATATCATATAATAATAATGGTTATTAGTCACATTTACACGACCCGCTTTAAGCGGTAAAACGGAAATTAAATATTCTCGAGTTTGCCAATTCCGTGCCAAAGCCCAAAATCTACTTAAACAATAATATTATTATGATAATTTGTTGTACCGTCGTTTACATGACTTGCGACTTGCTGTAATATAATAGGACTAATTCATCGATAAGCGCTGCTTACGTTTCTATTGTATTATAACAATTCCATTAATTATATATAGTACTTAAAAAGATAGATTTATTTATTTTCATTTTATTAATTAATAGATTTATAATTTTTTTTTAAATATAATAATATTATACCTAAAAATAGTAAAATATATCATCATAAATATCAAACACTAATTATTTATTTCAAAACGACTGATTTATTAATATTTATTTATGTTCTAGAATGAAACGATTTACTCTGCGTTCAAGTCGGTCGCTGAAAATTTAAAATGTCCAGAATATGCAGACATCCTGTAAGTATTATAAATATTATTAAAAACAATGTAAATATTATGGCATATTATTAGGCAGAAGAGTTGTACGTAGTATGTCTGTAATGAAAGAACCAATTGTTAAAGTCCAATTAAATTAAATTTTTTTTTGCCGGATAAATTAATGAAAGTATACGATTTAATGTCAAGAGAGTTACACTACCGGCCGATGGAAATTATTAATGACTTGTATAATACTTATTACAAGATGTATTTTCAAAAAAATAATAATACCATTACTGTGTTTATCTTTTCGGTGATAATTGTCATTGTTTGAACAAATGGTTATTATTTTGTAATTATTGAAGTAAAGTTCGAGTGAAACACTTTTTGTTGGTAAACACAAAAACGGTTTAATAACATAATATAGGCTTAATAAGTTTCTATGGGAAATATAATACTTCAAAAAGTCGTATAAAATCATAAACAACAATATAAAAAATATTACAGTGTACTGTATTTATTCATTTAATTAATTAACGCCCATTCGGGTAAAAGAGTGTACACAAAACAAAATAACTAAAGTAGATTAAAAAATTAATCTAAAAATAATAACGTTTTTATGCGTCTTAAAAAGTATAAAATAACCCTCCGGGGGTCTTGATAACCAAATAGGACAAGTGAACTAAAAAAACGTGGGGAATTTTGAGCTACCCTGAAAGTTTCAGCCGGATAGCTAATCGGGAAGTGCTCGAAATTTGAGTTGCAAAATTCCACCCAAAATTAATTTTATGAAAAAAAATATGTGGCTTTACAAATAAAAAGTTTGTCTGTAAAAATGTAAAAAATCATTTTACTGGAAATTAAATATTTCCAAAGAAATCTATAGTAAAACATCAAAGAAGTACACGATTCCAAGGAATTAATACCTATTGAATGGAAGATGTCATGTTTTAAATCAGAAATACCGTTAGAAAGCAATCAATGATTCCATAAGCGATTTTTGTACTCCGTAATGTCTCTTAATTGAAAAAGGCCAAGAAAAGGAAATGTCTCTCTCCTCAAATTACGGCTATATTCTTTGTTGTTCGGTTTGGCATTTCTTGAACAATATTACATTCTTCGTGTTCAACAAGAAGTGTATAATACGATATAAAATACCATTTTATATAATATATAATAGTATTGTACTCTAATTAGTTTTTTGAGAGTATTTATAATTATTGTACTATAGTTTTATTTTTGAAAAATTACATTATTTAATAACATAATAATATATCCCTTAAATAAATGTTATTGATTAAATAAAGTCAAGCGGGGTAATTATAAACAGAAAGTTACAAAGCAAATGCGGTTTTTTAACAAAAATGCTTCACACTTTTTGGTTTTATTTGAAAACTCATAGCCGCCAGCAAAATTTTCGTTTTTATAAAATATAAAAGTTGTATTACTACGAACAGTAAGTTTACTTAAACTAGGCCTGATAAAATAAAATAAAATAAAGACACTAATTTCCTTGGAATATATGAATATATAGTGATGGAAATCCGAAATAGGTACGGATTTGTACAGAAAAAACCCAATTAAGGCAACTTAAAAATCTTAAAAGTATTAAATATTTTTACTATATGAAGCTGTGTATCTAAGTAAAATATGTTTGATGAAAATATAAAAATAAAATACAACAGCATAAAGATAAATTGCATTTGAATTTTGAATATGGTAAAATAGAAAAATCCAATTTGTAGTATCCAATTTGTTATTATTAGGAAAAGCAATTTGTAGTGAAATTTAAGCATTTTTTTTTAAATTTTCATCAAAACATTTTAATTAGCTACACATTTTTATATTATAATAATATTTTATACTCATACGATTTTTAAGTGGCTTAAATAGAGTTTTTTTAAATCCGGATTTTCGGATTCCCATCACTAGTAGGCACATATTTTATTTTTTTTTTTAATATTTAATATTCTTTTTTACCTTCATCCTTAGAAGTGAATAAATTATAAACTTAATTTTTTCTAACGGGAGTATATGTTTTAAATTCTCTAAATATGTGGACAAAATATTAAAAAAAATTTGAGCGTTTGAATTTTGAATTTTCATCAATCTCTTCGTTCGCAATGACTCGTCACTGTGATTGAATAGGTGGTTAAGTACCGTTTGTCTATCATTATCCCAAAAAATTTCTGGTAACAAAAATACTTAATAAAATCGTCTCCTAATAGATTGTTTTTCGGAAGAAAAATTGTCCCCGGGTCGTCAGCCTGCTTCCTAATACTTCCTTAGTAGAACTCCTCTGTACGTTACATTACATAATATTACTGATCCATAGGTATGAGTAACCTCGAGGATTGCACCGAACCGAAGTTCAATAGTTCACGTATAGCGAGTAGGATGAGTAGGCAAAAGAAAAAAAAACTATATTAAATAAACACAATAACGGTAAGCGTGGCGGACTGTACGGGCGTTTGAGAATATTTTTGATTGAGTACACGGCCTTTTGGTATTGACGCGTTTAAGATTAATCACCGAAACGCACCCGAGTCTTATATATTAAGGAAGTTGTACACTTTGGGCCTGTTTTCATCCGTGTAATACACGAACGGTGAAAAGGAGGCTTATTCGACATGGCGACCGGCGTGAACACACTAAGCGGGGTTTAACAGAAAATATCTTGATCGGAGAGTGTGTAAAACAAGATTGGCCGATATCGCGCCAACACTCTCAGGATGTTCCTTGGACTTACAAAGCTATGTAAAACGCCTTTGCTTTGTGCTGTTATACGAGTTTTACTCCAAGGTGATATTACCGTTGATTTCTGTTGGATAAAAACAACCAAAAATAACCTTGAGGGAATTGCATGTATCTGTTTTTAAGGAGTTTTTATTATAGATAATATTTAAGAAGAAAAAGATGTTTTAATAAATTTCGACCATGTCGATAAATTTATAAATAAATTTGTAAATAAACTTCAAGGTATTATTTTTAACTAAAATTATATTTGTCCATGAGTAAAAGCCATTTTGATTTATTTTAGACCAAAAAGCCAGACAAAATTTCGACTACATAGTGTGGCCCAATTCTGTAAAGATATTCAAGTTATTCGGCTTAAAAGTGCATCTTCTTCTTATTTTTCATATTCACCTTACACTCCTAACTACACGGAGTCGGCCGCCCTAGTCCTACACCTCCATAGAGATTAATTTTCTTCATTTCGTTCAATCACCTCAGTTATCTTCGTATCACTTTCTATTCCGTCTATCCATCGTTTCTTCAGTCTTCCTCTTCCTCTACATTTATCTTCATAACACCTCTCACTGTCTCTGTCTCATTTCTTCTCATGACATGACCGAACCATCTCAACTTATTCTCTCTCATTTTCCCCACAATTTATGCAAAACCTAGACTCCCGCTTGTGTATTAATTTCTTATTATATCCACCCTAGTCACTCCACTCGTCCATTTTAGCGTCTCCGCTACACTCATCCTCTGTTCAGTTTCTTGTCTATTGCCCAACATTCGGACCCATATAGCATTGATGGCCTCACTACTGTCTTATAAAAGCTACCTTTCTATCTTATAGGCATCCACCTGCCACACAAAACACCTGACGCTCCCCTCCACTTCATCCTTCCATAGTTTATCCAACTTTTCACGTCCTTTTCATACCCACCATTTTTGTGTACTACCGATCCTAGTATTTGAACCTATCAACCTCGCGCACTTCACCTTTACACATCTGCATTAAATTTCTTGTCCTGTAACCTTCTTAAAAATCAAACATGATTGTCTATGATATTACCAGTCAAATAGATGGATAGGTAAGTGATTTTACCTCTAGAGGTTGAGAACTAGGTGAAAAACAAAACACTTGAATTATTTTCCAAGTGTCAACTAAGAACTCAATCCTTAATGTCTCATGATTTTTCCTACCTTGATCTCGGATACGATAGCGATCTTCTTTCAAAAGACTTAACTTCATTCAAGACCATTATAATAATGACCCTTTCTCGGTCACTCGAGTTGAGTAATTTGTTTTTAATTTCCTAACTTTGGTAAAGTTTTTGACTTTACCAAAGTACCATCAGTTTATGGTACTTTAATTATTGTAAGCAAATGTTTAGACATTTTTCTAATCGGTCAATAAAAAATTATCTACTAAAAAGAACCATCAAAATAAAAGATTTGTATCGTTGTGACTATAGTGGATAAGTCTACGCCCACGGTTCAAGCGTGAAGTGTCGTTTATCATATTTTATTTCCAAATGGTTATAATATAATTAATGTTTTACAACGTGAACCGGATAAGATCACTTTGAGGCTTGAGCACTGTCTGAAGTGTTCGAAAACAATATGGTACAATTAATATTACATCATAAGAACGTACCAAAGATGTTCCGTAACAAACTTAAAAACTATTTTGAAATAACCGGCACTTTCCTTGGCATATCGGTCGATCTGCCCTATTCTCCCCTGCAGGCCATGGTTTCATGGTCTCCATCTTTCGCGTGAGGAAATTTCTTCCTTTTCCCGTTAAGATTTGGTCACAATCTTTTTTCTGCTTTCTCTTTAAACTCCTCTCCACATTGCCCCTTGCACGGTCTAATTGTCGAGCTGGAATATGTCCAATAAATTCTTACAAAAGAAAAATCGGCACAATTTCGATAAAAACGAGAACACTCCTGGCAACATTGACTTCAGATAAGTTTTGACTTCAATGCAAATTGACAAACCTAATTTATATAATGACAATATGATACCTTAGTATAATAAGTTCGGTCGAAAAGCCTAGTTTAAATTTTATACAGAATATATAGGACAAATCGAATTAGAGTTGCAAGCACACCGTTACGAGCTGTCGTATTCGGTTTCATAAATTCGTTTTCGAACGTTTGACAATCCAATTACACTTCACGACCTTGTGGTGGCAGACACCAGAGTTCCAATCACTTGGCCGAAGCTTGCTTTGTGCTGCTGGCTGTCACCTGAATAATGGAATTACACCATAGTCGGTTGGAAATCATAATTATATTGTT